AAGATGAAAATCCACAAGAAGATTCGAAAGATGAAAATCCACAAGAAGATTCGAAAGATGAAAATCCACAGAAAGATTCGAAAAGTAGAAAAGTTAAACTAGAAATTTTGAGTACCGGTATTATTAAATTGTTCTTATTCGGTTGTGGATCGGTGATCGAATCAAATGTGTACCAGATGATATGCAGTTTTATGGCATATTTAAACAGAAATACATGCTAACTAATATGCCATAAAATAGCAAAATCTGATTAATAATAGTAATCTACGCCGACAAAGCCTTAATGGTATCCACAATGCAACCCTAATACTAATAATTTTATTTAATAACCTTTTTTGTTTTTTTAGTAAAATACATCAAGCCAAATATTAAGTAAGTTACTTTAATTCTAATACATATATTTTTTCATGTATTAACAATTTTATCAATCTTGTATTATTATAGTTACTATAGTTATATTGATTGTGCCATAATTGCTTGCGATGATCGCGAAGCTTGCGACGCTTGTAATACTGACGAGCCACATCCGCACAACTTAAAGAACTTAGAGAAACGTTTGAGAGAATATAATGAATACGTATCCAAAAATTTTCTTATTATAATTTGGGTGTTTGGTAAAAACCATGATGAATGTTGTAAAGCCAAAGTTCTAAACCATGATGAATGTTGTAAAGCCGAATTTCTAAACTTTGACAACCTCCGTAAGTGTAAATAATTAATATTGAGTTATAAATAATGGTATTTTCAACTGATATTTCGAATAAATTAAATTCTTAGACGTGGTTTGTGTTCATAAACTTGAAGGTATTTTATATTATTAGTTTAAGAATAATAAATCGCATTATTAAAATAAATAATGGTATTATTAATTGATATTTCGAATAAAGCAAAATTTCTATGGTACAATTTGATAAATTCATTTAAAGAAAAAATACTACGCAAGGACCCAAAAACTCTATGGAAAAATGCGAGAAAAAATTTGATTGAAGTACGCACGCCTGAAAATAATCTGATAAAGTTACTTAATGACGAAACACTACGCACGCCTGAAAAGTCACTTAAAGATGAAACACTACCCACGACTGAAAATAAACCAAATATTATTCTATGGCAAAAGTTGATAAAGTCACTTAATAAGTTGATAAAGTCACTTAATGACGAAACACTACGCACGACTGAAAATAATGAAAATAATT